CAAAAATCAAGGAATTTATTTATATATATATATATATATCAGTAAAGTGGCTATCAGTCCTGATTCCCAAAAAAAATTTGGAGTCCAAACCCAAAACGACGCTGTTTTATTAATCACAGCCCCTCCCTTTTGCCTTTGCCCCTGCCCCTTTTGCCTTTGCCTCTTCTCCGATTCTTTCTCCATCGCCTCTCAACCCCTCCCCTTTGCCGCCCCTCCCCTTTGCCTTTGCCCCTGCCCCTTTTGCCTTTGCCTCTTCTCCGATTCTTTCTCCATGGCCTCTCAACCCCTCTCCTTTGGCTTTGGCTTTGCCTCTGCCTCTTTTGCCTTTGCCTCTTCTCCGATTCCTTCTCCATCGCCTCTCAGCCCCTCCCCTTTGCCTTTGCCTTTGCCTCTGCCTCTTTTGCCTTTGCCTCTTCTCCAATTCCTTCTCCATCGCCTCTCATCTCCATCCACTCCTTCGAATCCTCTGATTCCACTGCAATTCATCATCTCCATCGAAGAGAAGGGACCGAGTGACGATAAGCTCTATCTACCCAAACAAATCGAAAAAATCTCTCTCTTTTTTGTTGGGTCTCTTTTTAATCATCGGTTCCTTGAATTTTTCAGATGCAATCGCGCCATCGACGGTAGCAAAAAAGGAATTGAAGGCAAATGACCTTCTGAAAGTATTTTTGTTCTCTGGCAGCAATAGGGGTAGAAAGTATTTTTGTTTTCTTACTCCAATTTTTTGTTGAATCTGGAAAAGAGAAGGTTGATTTTAGGAATTGTTTGTTTATTCAATTAAATTCGGTAGCCAAGTCATTTTTTCTTAACTATTTGATGATAAAATTTTTATACTGGTGCCTTATAAATTATGTAAATTATTTATTCATGCTATAGAATACTAGTATTTTGAGGATTGGAGCATGCAGGTGACTGTAGTATTAATAGTGTTGTCACACTGCTTCCTTTAGAACTGCTTTATGAATTTAGTACTGTTTTCCTTGGTGCCCCTTGAGGCCTGGCTTTGGAGTTTTTCAGATTGGTAGCTTTTATCTATTCCTTACATTAAGTTTGTAGAATTTAGGCCTGGCTTTATGGTTTTAATTTGAAGATTGTATTTTTGGTTGTTGTGTTGTTTGGACAAGGTTAATGCTTGGGAAAAATTCAAGTAGGTGAAAGAAAGTTCTTTTGTTATGACAAGTCAGATTAGATTTTAAC